TCAACTATCTCTAAATCAATTTGGCATCAGACATAATATGTTTCATTTATCACATACCGCTTCAATAAAATAACATTTTGATTGACTAGACAAAGCAATAACAGAAACGAATTCCTAAGCTCATAACCCAGGGCAGTTTAAAAAAGAGTATGAAATGCATATGTAGTATTTACAAATAGAAAATGGGAAAATATAAGCCCACGTAATGTACAAAAGCAAATGCCTCCGGTGTGGCTCCGTGTGGGAAGGGCGGCTCCGTCTTGGCTCGGAAGCGAGGCTCGGCGCAGCTCCCGGCCGACGCGCCGACGTCTGCCTCTTCTTCATTATCCTTTCACTATTCGTCTTCATTTTCGTCTTCACTGTCACTCGAAAACTCACGGGGCACCTTCACCACGAATCACACTTTTTAATGCCACTTTCTTGTCGTTATTGCGAGGATTTTTCGTCACTATCACAACGGATAATCTCACTTGATCATGTTTGTGTTGTTCCAGCGAAATATTGTTCGTAATTTCACGTGATCTACTTACTGTTTTCATCTCTTAACATATTCAACAAATATACAATCAACAAATAATTATTTCAAGATCAACAAGCACGATATAACAATGAAAATCACCACATAACACTAATAAGATGAACACAGTGGCGGGATGAGAGCGCCAGCCACGAGCACAGACAGCGCCAGACAAGAGAGAAGCCGCTCATACACAAACACAGACGCCGCGGCCCGGCCTCTCTTGTACCTGCGACCCACGGGAACACGGCCGTCGGTCGCTACCTGGACGTCTCATGACCGTCGCAGCTGCATGGCGGAAGCAATGATCCATTTTCAGGCGTCAACTAGAAAGGAAGGGATTCTTCCCCTCTTCGAAACGATTTTCAAATAATTTCCGTTGTAAGGGAAGACGAATCCAAGGCTAACGTTTTATCTGAATTGTTTAATGCCTTAGGATAAATAGGTATGTGGTCATTTTCCCTTCCGATCGTTGACTCGGGACATTCTCCTAACAACCCGCACCGCGCAATCTGGTTCAGCAGACGAGCGGCACACACTGCAATAGGCTGGCATCTATTTGCATGTGTTGTGTTTTGAAGATGCTCCGGCGTCAGTTAGGGCCACTTCAGGTGTGCAGAGGAACAGGGCGAGGACCCGGCTGCTGCTGGGCGGCAATGGCATGCAGCTGGTGGTTCCTGGTGGGCGGCTGCGCGTCCGGCATGGCGAACTTGAGCTTCTCCCAGAAATGCGTGTCGCCCCACTTCAAATACGTGTTTGTTTTTAGGTAGAGGCGGATGTCAGGGTCCAGATCCCGCTGCGGAACGTCCCCTAATAATATGACGATTAAGCGGCGACGTCTGTCTTTGAGGACCTCGTGGTGAGCCGATCGGAACTCGAAGCGACACCACTCTGATTTTATAAAATTTTCGGATAAAATTAGTATCGTGCGCTTGCTCGTTTCCACTGCGCTGAGGATGGTGTCCGTTATATAGGCACCGACAGGGAAGTCTCTATAATGCAGACATAGTTTGTACGCGGGGCTCCCGCGCTCCAGCTCGGGGGCGAGAATCTGCGTCACGAACACCTCGTCCTTCGAGCTGTAACTCACAAACGCGTCAAAAGCCTTGTCGGTGTCGCCCTCGTACTCGCTCCGGTAGAAGAGTCTGACGCCGTACTTGGCGTACACCCACACCCTCATGCGGTTGCGATTGCAGAAGACGATGAGGGTGATGGTGAGGAGCACGGCGAAGGCCCCGAGCGTGATGGTGGGCAGGAACACGTAGTCCAAGTAAGCTTCGTGCCGAATCGTGGTAGTCTCGGTCTCGTTGGTACATGAGGAGTGATTGTAGGTCGAGACCTGAGCCACGACTTCGCTCGACCCGTTGAGAGCGCAGTAGATTTTATCCGCGTCCCTGAGTTTCCTGCCAACGCCCTGGAGCCATGCCTGAATGTCCCTCAGGTTCTCACAATCGCAGGTCCAAGGGTTCTCGCTGAGGTGAAGGGAATGGAGATTATGGTTTTTAGTGAACATGTTCACAGGAAATGTTTTCAGGCGGTTATTGTCTAGCCTCAGTACCCTAAGCGAGGCGAGAGTCAGGAATGTTGTATTTTGTATGAAAAACAATTCATTATCATGTAAATACAATTCACGTAAAAGGGTAAGATGTTCAAACTCATAACCCTTAAGTTCCTTGATTGAATTCCTATGAAGGAAGAGTGTTTCTAATAACTTCAGTCCGTTGAAGGTCCTGTTGTGTATGACTTCGACGCCGCTGTCATTCAGATAAAGAACTCTCATGTTCTTTCGCCCGATGAAAGTATGGCTGGAGAGGGATGCGAGAGCGTTGCCGTCCAGGTACACTTCGGAGGAGTCCATCGGAATCCTCTCCGGCACGGATCCGTAGCCCGCGCGGGAGCAATCGACGATGTTGGCCGCCCAGGAGTTGTCGTGGAAGCAGGTGCAGTTGGTAGGGCACGTCATCTCGCAGTCGCAGGCGTCGAAGTCGCAGCATTTACAGCGGGTGAAACAGTGTGAGTCGTACTCACAAAGGAACTGCAGCTTCTTGGCATCCAGCAGAGGGATTTTGCCCTTGTTGTTCATCAGGCGACACTCGATGGAGTCGAGGTCGATCACCGTCAGGCGCTGGTGTGGCTGGTCATAGCTGTTGATCGTCTGCAGCCACTCCATCGTGCAGTCGCACTCGAAAGGGTTCCCGCCCAGGTAGAACTCGGGCAGGTCACGAGAGGGATCCATTTGGGAAAGCCTGAGCGCTGTCTGATCGAGATTTCTGATCTTATTTGCATATAGATCCACTTTTGTAAGATTATTATTACTGAAGAAAGCGAAAGGCTGCACGCTTTCTATAAGATTGTTGTTCAGGAAAATTATTTCAACACTATCGGGAAATGAACTTGCACTGATGTCGGATAACCTGTTAAAACTAGCGTCAATGATTTTTAAATGCGGCTCACCTTCAATTTCATAATGATTACCAAGTTCATTAATGTTATTTGACCGTAGATCTAAATATTGTAAACCTCTTGGTATAAATGCATAATCAAACATTTCAAGATGATTTTTAGACAAATTAAGCCACTGAAGGTTTGGCAGGTTTGAAAAAAGTCCTTTAACATTTGTCAAAATATTGTCATCTAATCTGATAGCTTCAATATGTCTGTTGTTATCAAAAGCTCCGTTCTCTACAGTGAAAATCCTGTTGCTTGACAGATCAAGCACTTGCAGAGACGGGAGGTTTGTAAACACACTTTTCGTGACGTTTTCTATGTCGTTTGCAGCAAGTCTTAGAACACTAAGGTGAGGAAGGTCCGGGAAGGACTTGTTGCTTATGACACTTACATGGTTGCCGCTCAGGTCGAGGATCCTGAGGGAGGCGAGGCTCTTCACCACTTTCGGAACATCCTGCAGGTGGTTGTGGCTCAGTTGGAGCTCCTGAAGCCCCGTGGAGTTGACAAGGGCCTCGCTGTCGATGCTAAACACTTCGTTTCCGTCGAGTTTTAACACCTGCAGCCCAATAAGGCCGCCGAAAGTCTTGTCACTGATCACTTTGACGCGGTTGTCCGACAGCACGAGCGTGTGGAGTCGGAAGAGTCCACTGAAAGTGTTGTCAGAAATCGTCTCGATCATATTTTGTTGCAATTTCAAAACTTGCAAGTTTGTTAGATCGCGAAACGTCGCCGCGTCTAATCGCGTTATTTTGTTGTTTGACATGTCTAAACTAGCGAGTCTGAGCAGATCCGTGAACGTCTCGGAATTCACCCACGTATTAGTTAGCTGGTTATCTGACAACTCCAATTCTAATAACAAACTCAGTCCTGTGAACAGTCCAGGCGCGAGCACACTCACAGAATTATTTCGTATGTACAATTTTGTCAGTCTTTTATTTTCCTGAAACAACTCCGGCGGTAATGTAGTGAGGAGATTTCCCGATAAATCTAACACTTCTAATGAATACATACCGAAAAGTGCTTTATCTTCCAGTTTACTAATTCCGTTGAGACTCACATTTAAAACCTGCAAGCCTTTGAGCGCTGCAAATGCAAATGCGGGAACACTTACGAGGTGGTTAAACGAAATATCTAACGAGCGCAGTCCCGGGGCACAGATATGCTCTGCCTGACTGAAACTGAGAACTGTGACGTCCTGAAGCTTATTCCTTGACAGGTTGAGAAGCCTTAGATTTTCCAGATCACACAGCAGCGATGGCGGGAGCGTCCAAATGTTATTACTCCCCAGATCCAAGTACTCCAGCTTTTTCTGGTCCTTAAATGCGTCATTGGCGATCTTAAGGGTCACGACAGACCAGTCGGCATTGTACGTTCGAAGTGTCAGATTCCTTAAATTGGTCAGGCCGAGGAACGCCTCCCGCGGGACCTCACCAATCTTGCAATATTCGATATCGAGTTCCTGCAACTCGCGTAATCTCACGAAACTTTTATTTTGGAGAGCACTTTGGAAGAATATCACGTCACTGCACTCGATTCTAAACTTCACTGTGTTTCGTGTCGGCACCAGGCTGAAATTCGTGGCGTCTAGCTCACTGTTGTTAGTCCGCAGTCGACACAGGAGGGCGACGAGGTCGGTGCCCGGGAGAGAGGTGACCTGGCAGTCGTCAGGAGTGTGGTAGTCCGGACCTACGTTGCCCGTGACAGCCCACAGAAGGGCTGCCAGGCACCAGACCCACAATATCCACATCTTGCCGCACGGCCTGTTTCACGAGAGCGCCATTATCCTGGCTAGTCCGGGGCCGACCGGTCTCGCCATCTTAGGATGCGCGATGCAGAGTCCTCATTACTCCTTGGTAAAAAACACCTGAAGGTGATTGGTCCCATCACTTCGTTTCACTTCCACACTAGGTAGTACAGCTTCCCTGTCATCCACGACATTGTGACAGAATGTACTTTATCCATAAATAGTCGGATAACAGCTCCAATCAAGCGAAAATGTGGGAGCGACCGAGCGTGCGTCGGTGTGGGGTGTCTA